TGCCAAGAACTGTTTACATCAAAGTTCCAGATTTGTGTTATTTAACCACTGGCCCACTTGCCATCGATGACTCCTGATGACATGTAAAAGAGCTCACAGCAGCCAGTTTTCTTGTTAAAATCAGCTAGCAGCCAAAAAGAGGCAGAGAAAATATGAGAATTATTCTGAAGAAATAAAGTGATTTTTTGCATGAAGAGAGAGTGTAAGGGTTTGAGGAAACACCACTCTAAAAGGAAAAGTCTAAGTAAGTGCAATTTCAGGAGGGAATGGAAATGAAAGTACTTGCAAATGTCTAAGAATATTACTACAGATTGCCTGAGCTACCAGTTATGGTGAATGATTGTCATTCCCATTCAGGTATTTGCAACTTGCACAATCAATTTTGATCCAGTTCCTCTGACCGATAACCAATCAATCATAGGCCACAAGGCTTTTGCATCCCTTAACAATGATCCCATGGAGGCGTTCAACCCAATGCCCTCAACCCCACCAGAGCTTACAACTCTGCAAACGCCAACACTCCAGTCATCAAGCTTCAAGGACAACAGAGTCAGTGAAGACGTCATCCAATCATTAGTAATTCCAAGCAAATCCAAAGGGGTGGGAGACATCTTGTAAAAGGGAAAAAGAGAGGCTTCGGTGTGCTCTTAAACTTCCGCCTTTCTTCATTATCTTGAAAGAGCTGAGCAACAGCATACACCAACAGCACCCACAACAAACAGCAGCTAGATGTGACAAAACTTCAAGCATTGAAGGTGCTAGTGTTTAGCTGTTTTCCCATTGAGTCTGCCAAGGAAAAGGAAAAAGTGTGGAAGTCCATTAAAAACAAAATTAACTCCAAGTGTTGCCTAGGCAAGCATGTAAATAAGCTTGCTCATTCATCAGAGTATAAACAAAGCTGAATTGGAGAGGTTCTCTGCAAAATATCTCGCCAGTTCAACCACGACAGTTTAACATCAATTTTTAGCTCTCCATTTGTCGATTTTGGTCAACTCTTTCTTGGTTTAACCTATCTGTTTTTGGCCCTTGTAATGTTATCAAACTTTGATTGGTGTTTGTGCAAAAGGGATACTAGATCCTAAAGATTTGAGTTAAGGCAAAATCCACCCTCACTCTATTACAAGGGAGAAACTGTTTTGATTCGAGTCCGTCTCAAAGGAAATAGTCAAGGTAAAGAAAAACACGCTAAAGAACACATGTGAATGGGGTGATGCTAATCATTCTATGCACAAGTGCTTTATCAGCTACAGTGATCCCCTGACACTTAAGAGTGAAACGAAGTGGTTTAAAGTAGATGATGTTACCTCAGTAACAAAAGAAGAAAATTATTTTGCAGCTTTTCTCGGAAGCGGTAACACTTTGCTTCAACGGAAGTAGTTACAATGACCAGCTACTTCGCCTCGGAAGAGCATCTCAGACTGCCACAAAAATACACTCTGACCTGATGAATTATCTCAAAAGTAATCCAGCCACCCCAGATGGAACTGTATGGGTCTGCAAAATTTATTAAAGATAGAACAGTATACCATGCTGGCATACCAATGTGTAGCTAGTTAAGGAAGAATATGTAGCATTTATTGCGTTGTAAAAAAGAATCACCATCATAATTTTAAGATTTATAGTAAAAAGAATTCTACATCTGTTTATGAAGGTGCCATTCATAGCATTGTAGTATGAAAAAAGTAACCAAAAGAAGCCAGTTGTAAGCCATAATTTAAGATGGTTTCAAAAAATATAATTGTTATTCTCACCATTCCCATATCCATGCCATTCCTTATTTTTTAATCAGATTCATTTGTGGTCACCACCAGGGATAATTTCCGGTCCGGGATCATTTGCATTCCAATTTGGGGATCATTTGCGGACCCATACAAGCCCCCAAACAGCCGAAGTATGAGTGAAATCAATTTTTGACAGTTGCCACATTTTTCGGATTTTCTGCCATGTTTACAGATATTAACTGTTCATGTCCTCTATACCCTCTTGAGTAGTACATGCCTGAGGGTAACTTTTAATCTCTTCTAGAACCTCTTGGTGCAAACCATAACGTTACTTTTAATCTCTTCCATACCCTCTTGTCTAAGGTAGGTATAGCTATACCTTATAGTTATAGAGTATAGACTATTATATACAAGGAAGGTAGTTTCAATTATTTTCCACATGTGAAATACACAATTCTCAACTTAAGATATTTTCATTTACTTTTTTTGTGCATAATACCTTTAGATTTTATGCGTATTTTTATTTTCTCCACAATTACTTTACAAATAAGATTAATTCCAGTTCAATTTAGCATTGTAGACAAAATAGCATTTTTAAGTCTTACCTCAGATATTTTATTTGTTAGATTTAGTACGAGTACAAGACATTTATGCATTGGATCTTTGATTCAGTAATATTCGGTACATTCCTCAACTGAACTGACCTCTAA